CTCTCTCTCTCACACACATACTCGCTCACACACACACACACACACACACTCTCTCACACACACACATACTCTCTCTCACACACACACATACTCATACTCACTCACACACACACTCTCTCACACCCACGCGCACACACACACACAGAGGTTTGTTTTTGTGAAAAGTGGGGACTCTCCATAGGCGTAATGGTTTTTATACTGTACAGACCGTATATTCTATTGCCCTACACCAACCCTACCCCTAAACCTACCCCTCACAGGAGACTTTCTGCTATTTCAGATTTTCAATACACTCCATTCTGTGTGATTTATAAGCGTTTTGAAAAGTGGGGACATGGGGTAATGTCCTGAAAAGTCACCTTCTCCTTGTCATACCTTTGTCATACCTTTGTCATTATACAAATTTGTCCTCATTTGTCACAAAAACACGCACTCACACACACACACACACACAAACATTCTCTCACACACGCACAAACACACACACTTGCTGAAACAAGTGCAAGAATGTCTTTGAATCAGATCCAATTAATGCAACTCGACGGTGTGGAAATGTTGAGTAATGGAGAAACTTGATTTTGGTGAGAGAGATGTAAGTTTACAACCATTTGTGTGCCGGGCTGGTATAGACTTCTGGCACAGATCGAACACCTCCTCATCTTCTCCTCCTCCCTCTCCATAAGCACGGGCCGCTTGTCTTCTGGTCTTACTCTCTTACTGCGCTCCAAATTTCCCTAAACAAATCTTGTCTTCCAGCGGTGGAGGATGCTCTCTGTTCATGGCCTATTATGGAAGTTTCAGGGAGTCGTGATGCGCGTCTGTTGGCACACGGATGAGAGGGAATTGAAAGAGCAACTCGTGATGTTTTAAAGGCAGGAATAAATGCCAGAGTGTCAGAAGCAGGTTATTGTTAGTCAGGACGTTTGTGTTTTGATCTGAAGCATCTCATGTGTCGTGGTAAGTTAAACAAGACAAATGTTTAAACACGAGATGAAACTTCTCAATAAAATGTTGTTGTTGTTTTTTGCGCAACAACATGGGATTAATCAATGCATGCTTTTATCATAGTTCATAGTTATATGGAAACGAAAGTGGATAACATTCAACCCGTTCTTTTTCATCAGTATTATTTGTATTTTGTGACGTTCCTTTTTTGTTATGTTATAAGCCGGGCTTAAGATCGAATTCGCGATCTTGTCACGTTTTACAAGAAAAGTAGAGATGCACCGATTGCAATTTTCTTGGCCGTTTCTGATTTCTGATTTTTTTCGTTAGTGTGATCTGCCAATACCGATTTTTGCCGATTCCGATTTTCTTTCCAAGAACTATAATTAACAGCATATACAAACAAAAATCTACTTTTCTTCAACGCATAGTTTTATTTTCATAAAAAAACACAAGTAAAAAGTCAGTAATAAAATAAGAACAAATTGCAAACAACAGCACAAATAAATGCAATAGATGAATAGAATAAAGAGAGCTATGAAAGTTTTTCAGGTTAAGTTTTTATTCAGTTAAGAAGTACTACAGAAATTAAAGTAATCTAATGTAAAATAACACATCCAGTGTTATTTTACATTTGATTCTTTTAATCTCTGTAGTCGTCATTGTAAAAATTAAATACAGATTAATGCTTACCATTAAAGTTTATTACATTATATACATTAAACGTATTCAGTCAAGAGCAGAAAATTATTTTCTTTGTCTTTTGTTCTTTGATTAACATGACAGACAGACAGACAGATATTAGACTGCCGTCCCTTTAAGAGTTTATCCACGGACCCAATATACTGTTACACAACATGCGTTCTCTCTCAACTATTTAACGTTCCAAAACTGACTGTTTAACTGGATACTCGCCAAAACGGGCATTTTGACATAATTTTGTATGTATTTGAACGTTTTAGCGCATTAGCCACTCATTTTGGTATTTGTGGCTTTTTGCTTACACATCCTTTACTTTTTAAGACTAAAACAAAAGATGGATTCATTGTTATTCTTGATTAAAAAGCACAACAACATCAATACAGTAAGATACAATGACAAACTAGCTTACAAAACGTTTATTAGCAAATACGAATAACATGAGGCATGGCATACACCACATGCTGTATTCTATACGACTAATAAATTACAGAACGTTTAGCAAACACTGAGGAATCAAATAAAAAAAATCAGATAAAAGAGAGCCTCCATAGCATAGCGTAACGTGAGGTAAACAAAAAGAAAAGTAAAACTAAACTAAACTTGCTGTCGGTGACGGTGCTTGCATGATTATTCCCTCAAGAATACCAACATGTTCACCTCCTCTGGTTTAAGAAGCGGTCTTTTACTTTACTTTAGCTTGAAAACCATCCATCGTTTCCTCAATATACGCGTCATTTTTGCTGCGTGCACCTTCGCGCTCGTGCTGACGCGGCGAGTATAAACCAGACTCTACACTCTATAAGCGCTGCGCAGTTCAAACGAGTTCAAATGCAGTTTCATTATGATTTCAGTTTCCTTTTCCCTTTCATGTTTCTCATATGCAACAGAAATTGAAGCGCTTATGAGTTAAACAACGCGGTGGTTGCAACAGTGCGACCGCTCACAAAATTGTCACACAGGCAGAAAAAATGGTCGCAAAATGTATATGTATGTAAATAATCCTAAATTATAAATAAAATGTATAATAAATGTGTATATACAGTGTATGTAATAAATATACATGTAATTTTTTTATATAATTGTGATTGTTTTTTTGTTTTTTTTTATCGAGGTCTTGATATTATATATACAGTGCCGTGAAAAGGTTTTTTTGCCCCCTCCCTGTTTTGTTTATTTTTTGCATATTTGTCTCACGTAAAAGATTCAGATAATCAAACCAATTATATTACGCAAAGATAATGCAAGTAAATACAAAATGCAGTTTTTAAATGATAATTTCATTTATTAAGGGAAAAAAGCTGTCCAAACCTACGTTGCCCTACGTGGAAAATTATTTGCCCCCTCCTCTTAAATCATGGAAGAACTGTGATTAACCACATTATTTTAGAAAGCTGAGTTAAATTTCACTAGCCACACCCAGACCTGATTACTGCCAGACCTGTTGAATCAAGAAATCACTTAAATAGAACCCGTCTGACAAAGTGAAGCATGCT